TCCCACAGACTTGCTTCAGGTGAAACTTATGTGTGATCAGTCTTTACATGTGCTACATCCCAAATGTATTCAGTAGGATTCAAATCCAGACTTTGACTTGGCCAGCCCATCAGTTCCAGTACTCTGGATTCCTTTTTCCTGGTCAAAGAGTCTCTGCACAGCTTTGAAGTCTGCTCGGGCTCATTGTCTTGTTGGTACATGAACCCACAACCAATCAGATTCAGTCTAGAAGGGATTCCAAGATGAGACATTCTTGTTTGGAGTTTGGTAACTTGTTCCACCACCAGGGAACCACAGAGGAGAAGAGTCTAGTTATCGACCTCTGACCCTGTTGTGGTGGTTCTATCAGGCGGCTTGTGTCGGTTGAGCGTAGTGAGCAGGAGAGAGTGTAGATCTGAAGGAGAGAGTTCAGGTAGGAGGGAGCTGGTCTCGTTGTGGGTTTTGTAAGCAAGTGTCAGAGTTTTGAATTTGATGCAGGCAGCAGCTGGAAGCCAACGTGAAGCGATCTGAACAGCGGAGTGACACGTGCTGTTTTTGGCTGGTTGCTGCTGCATTCTGGATCATCTGCAGAGGTTTGACTGTGGATGCAGGGAGGCCTGCCAGTAAGGAGTTGCAGTAGTCAATGCGTGATATGATGAGAGTCTGTACCAGGAGTTGTGCTGCATGTTCAGACAGGAAAGGTGTGATCTTCCTGATGTTGTAGAGGACGAACCGACACAACCGAGCAACTACATGAACCTTGAAGGTTAGTTGGTCATCAATCATGACACCCAAGTTTCTGGCAGATTTAGTGGGTTTCAGTTGGGTGCAATCAAGCTGGATGTTGATTTCTGGTTGTAGAGAGGGACTGGCTGGGATGACAAGGAGCTCAGTCTTGCATACTTGAGTCAAACCAGCACAGTAACTGTAGTAGTTGAACGTGAGGAAACCAAGATTCCATGAAACGTAAAACTTGTGCTTAAAGATTTGAATCTATGCACGTGATTGTTGCGAAACCACAGGACCTGATGCACTTTTTCTCACAGCAGCCCTGCTACAACACCTCCACCTACACAGTCTACTTTCCATCTGTGGCTCTTTTGGTAGCAGGAAGGAGAGTTGCAGATTCTGTGGTTTAGGTAAATTTCCCTGTTTACTGTGATCTTTCCACAGCAGTTCCACAACATTTGGTTGCAACTGTTTTCTTGTTAAAGCCTCCATTTGCCTGGCTAGTCTGCTGACAGCACATAGAAATGAAAAGAAAGCTGTTGTTTATGAGCCAATACAGTAACCTTTAATGAAAAGTTGCCAATTGATTGTGTAAAAATGTATCTTAGGATTTTACCGCTTGTCACGTTTTTCCCTTTAGCTTTTGGTTTGTAATGTTTCCTGGTTACTTCATGATTAACAACTTTCTTGAAAGAAATTGGAAAGATAAATATATTGCATAGTCTGGCTTTTCCTACAATTTATTAAAGCTATATGATGCACACTATTTATGTAACCGAACTATTCAGCTACTTCCCCAAGCTTCATCTTTATACATATGATTCATTTCATTTTGTAATCAAGATCTGAGGATCTGAAAATTGTAAAATACAGAACATGAGCTTGCGTCCATTGGTCACCACTGGACTGTTACAAAATTGCAATGTACAGTTATAAAACCCACTAAAGGTATTTTAGTTAAATATCCTTAAACTGCCATTTGTGAAACCCGAAGTAGGAGATCTGATATTGCTGCTGAAATGACTGTACAAGGTCACAGACACCTTGCAGCTACATGCACTTATTTTTGTGAATGTATGTGGTGAAAGTTCTGGTGAGATACAATCAGTGATTATGTGCTGAATGTGGTCCGACACTGAGTTCAAACACAGTGCTGAGCTCCTGCAGTTACACTGTTGTTACTTTGACTAAATTATTTGACTAAACTATTTTAAGAATCTTAATACTTTATTGTATTTTGATTTTAAAGCTTTATAAAATTCTTAACGTTTCTTAAATTTTGTAATGACTTGTTTTAATGATTTTGAATGGTGTCTTTTAATGTGTTTCTTCCGGCATTTTTCATTATGTTTTAATGTCTCTGTAAAGCACTTTGAATCACCTCGTTGTTTGTACGTCCTATACAAATAAACTTGCCTTGCCTTACACCCAATTCAGTGAAGTATTCTGAGCATTGTGAATACGTCACATACACACTGTGGAGTCATAACTCAGATATTTTAATCTACTTCTGACTTTAAATCCAACAAATAAAACAGCTCGAACGTTTTCAGCAAGGTTTCCTTCAGCTTATTTATTGTTGTGATGCATTTTTGGCAAAGATTCGGGTGCCCTTTGTGGTGTTCTATTAGGGTTCAGAGTGCGGATTTATGCAAGTAAAGTACATCAAATGAACACTTTGTCAAGGAAAGCGAACAACAGCCATGCATGCACGCAGACATGCATGAACAAAAACTAACTAATATCTTTGTAAGATGCAGTTTTCCCATACCACTGCTCCACCAGTGAGATAAACTGGCTTCTTTCAGTCACTGATTAGAAAAATGCAACTGATGTGAGCTGCCTAGTTTATAGTTTTACATTGTCTGTCAAGCATGGTAATCTCTCTCTTTCATGCTCTGTTCCCCGCCTACCTGGGAATTATGTCAGAAAACCACAAGTCATAGTTTATTTATTTAGTTTTTAGCTATATGTCCAACCTGTTTTTCTATTTCTTGTCCATTTGATCCGTGTTTCTTCTATGACAACGGGTACAGTCAAGGCCTTCAAATGTTGCATAATGTCAATTAGAACAAGAACAACCTATAGAAGTGTAGCAGTGCAACAGCAGGTTTAAAAATTCCGGCTTCCTCCCACAGTCCAAAAACATGTTGAGGTTAATTGGTGATTCTAAATTGTCCGTAGGTGTGAATGTGAGTGTGCTTGGTTGTCTGTCTCTAAGTGTAGCCCTGTGATAGACTGGTGACCTGTCCAAGTGAACCTGCCTTCATCCTGAGTCTTTGTCTTTGAATTGTGGTTCAACAGAATTATATATATATTTTTTTAATTTAAAAAACACACACACACAAGCAAATAAGCATGATGGGACCTGTATTCTAATATTTAGCCACTGTAATCAAGTGTTTCCTGTAACTCTCAATCAGACTTCTGCACCTGTTGACAGCTATTTTGATTCTGGTCCACTGCTCATCAGCAAAGTGCTCTAATTTGTCTGGGATTTTTATTTTTTAATTTTTTTTAAATTGTTCTTTTCAACCACAATTGTTTTATTTCACTAAATTGTAATTTCGAAAATTTTTCTTTATTATTACTTTCTTTAGTTTCTAGTTATTTAAGTGGCTATTGTGAATTTTGCCTTTTCGTTAATGGAGGCATATGAATACATTTGAGGACGACTGTACCTATTCAACATGTAATCACAGTGTATCACTATGACGATAAAGGCTGTGCTCTGAGGTTCACATACTTGAGTCAAACCAGCACAGTAACTGTAGTAGTTGTATGTTAGGAAACCACAATCCCCTAAGGGTTCACAGTGTTCATTCACAGATTTACAGGCAGCGCTGAGTAGCAACATGCGCTTGTGGGAATCAGTGGTCAGTGTTATACTTGGCCTCCTTCCAGTTCCAAAGGATTACACAGCATTTTTGTCAGAATTTTGAAGAAGTGATTCTTCGAATACCAGAATGTGAGTCATGTATGACTGAGGAACAGATGTAACATGAGGGCGGGGCAGAGTTAAAGGCAGAGTCAGAAAATGGGAAAAGAAGCAGAAACAAGATGAAACGCATGTAGTTTTTAGAAATGTTAGGCAAAAAAAAAGTTGATCCAAAAGGGGAAAAAAACAGATGATGCTGATTATCGGTGTGTTTTTAAGGCTCATGTGAATCATCAGGTGTCAGTGGACAGAAATGTTCCAGTAAGTTATGAGCTGTTTGTGTCAGGCTGCTCTGTCCAGTAGCATTTTCACCCTGGTGTGGGGCATGTGTTCTTTTTTTTAATGCTGTGTATGTGTCTGTTTTTCAGCCATGGGCCTGAGTTCAACACTGGGAGTCCATCTCTTTTTCCTCGGGTTATGTGGGATCTGTGCAGGATTTCTACAAGGTAAGCTGTTACACACTGTTATACTTTCAGTACAACTAGACCTTATGTTTACGTCTGTTTCAAGGTGTCTCGATCGATCTCTGTCTATGTATAGATTAAAAAAATTGACATTATTACATTACATTTCTCATGTCTTTCATAAGTCCAACTCGAACGTTTGGCTCCTGTTTGTACAGAAGTATTTTATTGCCCCCTTGTGGCCACATGATGTAACTGCAGCAACACGTGTGACTTTTATCAGCCCTGATGGACAACAGCTTATTTCCGACTGTTCTTGGAAAAGTTTACATAAGTAAAAACATCCAGGGAGCAATGAAACAAGCTTCTGATGGGAAAGAAGAAGAACTGGTCTGAATGCTTTTCAGCCACAGAACAAACACTCATTCATTGATAAGATACGGCACAATAACTGAAACAATGGCGGAAAAACTCTAACAAAGCAGTGTATTAGGACAGGGTACAGACTCCATTCTTAACAACACATTAGCTCCCCATTGTGAAATTTGGTGGGAAACATTTACTGTAGGCTATTTTTTCAAGCATTAATATTTTTTTCTGTATCTTGATCATAATGGATTGTGCTCAAAATTAGACTGCTATGGATGTATGATTTATGAAATTAGGGAACTATTCACTGATTCACTTTATGAAGTGCAATATGATAATCTTAACTCACTTTAAGCCAAGGATGAGAAAAAATATCTTACTTGATACCAAAAACAAAACAGAAGAAGAAACAAAACCACTGAAACAGGCAACAGCATCTACTTTACATCAGTTTTCTTCTTATCCATATTCTTATCAATAGTAATACTGATCAAATAAAAGCTCAACAGGTTTCCTAATGCTGTTTCTGAGACTAGGAAAAAGTGAGCCATGGTAGAGTTGACTCACTTAGAGGTGCTGCACTTCCATCAATGCTGCCCATTCCTCTGGGTTTCTTGAGTTTACAGATGCATTGGCAAACTTGGAATTTCCCACAAATGTTGGAAGTCAACCAAGAGCAGTAAGTCTAAAACTAAGTCTGAAGACCTGGAGTTATATTACTGTCGTCTAACAGGGTGATGATCTAACAGATGAGGTTAACCCAAATGTTAAACACATTCATTTATCGTAAATTACTCATCAGTTTATCAGTGTAAGAGATTTTTGTTTTTTCCACAAATTATCAAGTTTGTTTTATAGCACAGCCCTGCTCTTCGGACACTGAAAGTTGCATAAAGCACATTGAATATATTGGTAATAGAAAGCTGTATACTGGCAAGTTTGCTCAACTATATCAGCACTGAATAAATGATTATTCTCCATTCTCCACTGTGTTTTGCAGAGAACTGTACCAACTACAAGCTCCAGTTTGAGAGGGTTTTCTCTGTTCCTGGGGATGTGGCTATGCTGAATAGCACACTGATCTCCCCGGATGTCTTTGACTTCGCAAGTGTCCCACATAACATCACCTGGTACAACTCAAAGACAGGAGAAGAAATGAGCAACCAGTCTGGTCAGATCTGGGTGTTCGGAGAGACCCTGTGGTTTCTGAACGTAACCCTGGACGATGATGGGGAATACGTGACCGTAGTGAGGTATGGCGGCATCAGTAGAAGCAGAAATGTCAGAAAGGAATCGTAAAATATAAGTTTCTTGATAGCAATGACTGGCCCTCAATGAGACTGTCTCATTAATGCAAAAACATTCATATCTGGACAAGTGCAACAGTCTATGCAATTTCATTGTTCTTCCTTTGATTAAACGTCCTTATGTTTTCAAACAGGACTCCCTCCCGGTGCTACATGCAGGCCACCAAGCTGGTAGTGGAGCTGCCACTTCCTGGAGAGTGTGGGAGGCCACAGAAAGCATATCAAACACTTACAAAGGGAGCTTCTGACACTCTGCACTGTCCTCTGAGTGACTATATCAATAAACTTGACAGCTACAAAATCTCTTCCTCCATCCAGTGGTACAGAGTAAGTTATGGCAAATCCTGTCCAGAACTGACATAAAACACCTATTAAGCCACTTTGCGACAATGTACTATCCATTACACCAAACACCTTTAAAAGCCTCACTTTTATGTTTCCTTTTCTCATCTAGGGCTGTGATCCCGTTGTGGATGGGACAGGCGAGTACATCTACAGGGATGCAAACAAACTGGCGATTAGCGGGGTCGGATCCCAAAACAACTGCCTCTATACCTGCACTTTGACATTCACCTTTGGTGGCATCGTGCGGTCTGTGTCAGAGACCATTGATGCAGCAGTCACAGGTCTGAATAACCAAAGCTACCAGCGTCTATTACTGTGCAGTGCAAAAGTAAAAGTTACAGCAAGCTGACAAGCAAACATAAATTACAGAGTGGAAAATATGTGAATCATTCCATAAATCATATCCATTTAATTAGCCAAGCTTGAGATCAGCCACTGTATTTGATGTATTCTGTCTTTTCAGATGTACACTCTTTGGCTCCTCAAGTACGTGAACCGGCCAATGATGTAATCAAGGCACCAATGGGTGAGTCACCAAAAGCCACTTTCCACTGAAGGAACTTAAAGCAGCACAAATGTTTACAGGAGCAGCCCGAGTCTGCCCTTTTACCCTTTCTGTTTCTGTAGGGCTGCAGGAACAGACAGATATTTACCCTAAGTACACCAGAATAAAGACAAACAGTCACTGGATGTAACCCTGATGAAGGGTTTGTTTTGTTAGCCTAAATGGAGAATGTTATGTTGAAGATGGCAATAAAGTAGACAGACTGCTACTCAATGAGATCAGTAAAATGGTGCTTTCGTGCTCTCTCTCTGAGCTTAACCAATCGGTATTAAGACCAGCAATGCAGTTTTTTTTTTTCCCCCAGGCATGCTGAGAAGTACCTGAGCTGAAGCAAGTCCTTTTACTCCCCTTCTAACGAACCTAAAAGAGGTTCTACAGCGGTAGTTCTTGGAGTCAGAACTAGCTCAGGCCCTAAAACAGCCCCAAAGTTCCTGTGGTGGAAAACTTTCTCTATTCTAAGAAAAATGCTGTTGTGATGTGTAAATGCTGACTTCTTAAAGTGACTCAGGCTTTATTCAGACCAGCGGTTTCGTACTGTCACCCAACACAGCCTTCTAATTCATTTTAGTGACACCATGCTATCAGGATTGCTAAGTCAGCAATAGCACATGCACATTTTAGAGAGAATACCTCATCAAATGAAAGTGAAAGTGGCATTCTATTCTTAACACTATAACCATCAAATCAGGGGATAAATGGCTGCAGCTGGGATAACATTGTGTCTCATTGTATTATTAACCACACTGCAATGCATGTACGCTTAGTTTGGAACATACATTCATATCAATCCACCTGCATCAAATGGGAAAACATTTAGAAATGCTGAATTTAGATGTATTGATTAAGAAAAATAGTTTGCTTAGTGTAATCTCTGTTATTGTGTTTGCACGTGTTTAGGGTCCAACTTCAGCAAGAGGTGCCTTGTGTTTGTCCCGGGTGTTGGACAACCCATGGTTGATGTCTTTTGGTTCGCCAGAGGTGACTTTATCTTCAGCACCCTCCCCTCTGACCGCGTCTACACGTCAGAACAAAGGTTAGCACCCTCTTCTTTTCTTTTTATCTGTTTTGTTTTATCTGCTGCTTTTGGGATGCAACAGCTGAGGAATGCTTTTGTTTACTAGTGAGATTTCTGCTCTGATCAGGCACAGTAGCATCACATTTTACTCATCTGATTGTCCTCACCAGAATGTGGAGCCAGGATGATCCTATTCAAGGTACATGGATCGAGCGGATGTTGATGATTTCTGAGCTGAAGGAGGAGGACTTCAACATCAACTACACCTGTCAAGTGCACAGTTCCCGGGGCTTTCGTGAGGGATACTTTACTCTGCTACAAACAGGTAAACATACACTGAAGGCGTATCAAGTGGAAACCTCTTTCATTAAACACATAGTTTCTTCTTACAATAGGCAGCCAAAGCACATTTCTAGCAGCAACTTTGGAAAACACACCTCATATTGTTTGTTTTATCCAACAAAGACTCCAGAACACTTCGATACTTAACTACCATAAAAGAAAACCTACACATGCTGCCATTTGGGAGTAAAATTGCTGCAAGTTGCTTTACTAATTGTAAGGTCCATACCTTACCATGTGAAGCGCTGTGTAATGACATATGTTGAAAACTGCACTTTACAAATAAAACTAAATTTAATTGAATTGAATCTTATCAGCTACTAGTGCTGATCATCTCAATGACTGCAGCTATTGATTATTTTCATTGCTGAATATTCATCCATCCATCATCTATACACCGCTTAATCCTCACTAGGGTCGCGGGGGGCTGGAGCCTATCCCAGCTGACTTAGGTGAAGGCAGCGGACACCCTGGACAGCTCGCCAGTCTATCACAGGGCTACACTTGGAGACAAAGAACCAAGCACACTAACATTCACATCTATGGACAATTTAGAATCACCAATTAACCTCAACATGTCTTTGGAGAACCCACGATGCACGGGGAGAACATGCAAACTCCACGCAGAAAGATCCTGGGTGTCCTCACTGGGACATGAACTGGCGACCTTCTTGCTGCGAGGCAATGATGCTAACCACCGAACCACCTTAACAGCCCCATTGCTGAAAAACCTGTTGATTTTTTTTCTCAGTTATTTGATTTCTAGACATTGTCAGAAATGGTCAAAATGTTGATCAGTGTATCTAAGATGTTGTCCTCAAATGTCTTGTTTTTGACCCAAAGACATTCAGTTGACATATGTTTTATAGTAGATGGCCAGTAGAGGGAGTTCATCATCCATCTTTAGGCAAAATATTGAAGAAAAAACAGCAGGTCTTTCTGTGCAGTCTTTAAAAAATCTCACAAACCCCTGTGTGTAAAATACCTGGATGATCATTAATTATAACACAACTGAAAAGTATGAGAGAGCTTTATCATTATTTTCATGCTTGGTGTCATAAGAGTCACTCTTTTAATATTTTTCATACTTGAATTGAATGTCATGTTGGAGGTGCAATCTAAAATGATATTTATATGTGTTGTTCAATCCTGCAGATCCAAACATCATACTTCCTATTGGACTGGTGCTTGGCGGTGTGATGGTTCTCTTTATCATCAGTATCATTGTCTACTACATTTTTAAGGTTGACATTGTGCTGTGGTTCAGGAAAGCGTTTCCAGTCCTTTACACAAATAAAGGTAAGACTTCACGGCAGGTTTGTAGTTATGTGCTCTTTGCTAGATACGGTAGGCGATGTAATGATGTGTCAAACCACACGAAAAAGCTCTTCCATGGAAACCCCCACAGCAATGCTCTTACCTTGCAAAACACAAATACGGTGCCCACACATTTATCACAGTTCACACCTTACCTGACCGCAAGTGTCACCAGTGAAGGAAAACAAAGGAAATCACGCCGTCTGTTTCTGATGAAATGCCATCAGTTCATAATGCAACATGAGAACTTTGAGCATTCTACACTGTATGTTACCATTTACAAAAAAAACACACACAAAAAAACAGGAAACACTGGCTTTAGGTCTCCACGAGTAAATCAACATTGAAAGGAAAACTGTGAGCAGAAAACCTGAAGAACAGTAAACCACAATGTTGCATCCGTTACTTGACATGTGAGGAAATTGCAAAACATAGTGAGCAACAGAGAGGCAGACTAAAAAAAAATCTAGAGGTGATTTGGTCTCAACTCAAAGAGAACGGTCCAGTCGTCATGATTAATCCATTTCTTTAGTCTACGAATTTACAGGAGAAAGTGAAACTTAAAATCACACAATTACAATTTTCTAAAGCTTTATCTGACCATGTTCAATGCCCTGTTTTGTACAACCAGCAGCCCAAAACCCAAAGCCTTTTTAAAAAAATATATTATCCAATAAGATAAAGAAAAGCAGCCAATTCTTTAATTTGAGAAGCAGGAACTTGAGAACTTTCTGCATTTTTTCT